GAACAATAATTAAACTAATAAATAGCCACAGAAATATAAAAGTCTGTTATATTACTTTCACTAATGTAACAAATAGCTGTGGTTCAACATTAAATTACTTTTGTTTATTTACTAAGAATAAAACGTATAAAACAGAAGTTATTTTTTTGTCAAATAAAAATGTTTTAGGACTGAACTTAACATTAAATATGTCATAAAGAAACATAAAACCTACGAACAGCAACTGAATAGGATCTAAGTTCATTTACTTAATGTAAAGCTGAAAACATACTCCCTGCGAACTGCCGACGTCGGCACATGTTGTCGCAGTTTAATGACGAAAATTACGTCACCGGGCTTCGCAGCGTCGTGTCGACAGCCCCTTTTGGCACAACCCCCCAGCAGAACTTTTGACCCCCACTCCCGTGTCGACGGTAATCTGTGATTGGTCTGAAATTCGTGGGCGTGTTTGTGCTGCGCTGTGGGGGGGAAAGAAAAAAGAACAAGTCGCTCCCAGACTAGAAAGCAGAGTTTTATAAGATATAGTCAAACCGTGAAAAACCTATGGCTTGTTTGTTTGTGCTTAATATGCGCAGCTGCACTCGGTACAAAAATAAATAAATAAATAAAATTTAAAAAAGATGGTGGGAAAAACCCCGACTCGCTCCCAGAGCCGACACCAGGAAGTAGAGTCTTATAAAGATAGTCAAACCGTGAAAAACTCATGAATGGAGATAAAACAGACCTTGTTCACGGAGGAATCTGACTGATAAAAACTGTGGAGCTTTAACCAGAACAGATGTGGATAAATACGTCGGGTGAGTGACGTCTTTTTTTTTTCTGCAATGATTGTCGACTGTCGTGAGGGGAAATTCCATGCAGTGACGTATGGTTCAGTGGGAGCGGGGGTTTCCTGAGCTCGGTGCGGGGTGTCTCAGTGACTATGAAAAGTCTGTGCGAAAATGACTGCCGATCGACCACGTGACCGCGCGTCGACCCGTCTGCGTCGGAGCGAGTATGTTTCAGGCTTTAGTTGACGCACACACGCACTGTTTACAGTTCTTTATCAAAAGACGGACGAAGCTTTTTCATTTTTACTAAAGGAATATCTGATTCTGCACACAACAACAAAATCTTGGATAACCTCCCACCCGGACTCTCACCTCACTGAGTGTTGAGGAGTTTTCAGCGTGTCTCTGACCTGCCCCTCTGTCTGTGACTCAGAGAGGAAGCGGTCTTCACAGCTTCCAGCCCGTCGTGCTGACAACACTTATAGGAAAGTTTTTCTACAGGTAAATAAATAACGCTGGGGTTTTGTTCTGTCCTAAACTTTAACCTAGCTTCATATTTTTGGAGGATGTTGCTTTTAGTGAGTTTGTTGTTCGCTGCGTGAGCCGCGGTCGCGGCTTTTTTTTTTCTCCCCCTCCTCTTGTGTCTGAAGGGGAGCTCAGAGAGCTGTTACCAGGTAAGGGCAGGTAAAGGGAGCAGCAGTGGTCAAAAGACCTCAGAAACTCGCCCAAACAAGCAACCTCTGTGAGATTCCGTGTTTTACACTGGATTCCACGACTGGATTCCGTCCGCGGTTTTCACATCATGGAAATTATACAGCCAGACGTAAACTGATTGCTCATTATGTTTTTATGATCGCTGAAAACCCAAATAGTAATCAAGATCAAAATCCAATTAAAGGAGACCAATTATGGGTCCTAGAAATTTTTCTGGTGTGTCTGTGGGCTATCCAGACCATGTTCATTCAATTTAATGCACAAAATAATTCTCAGATAATAAAATTTCCTATTTTCTAGTTCTGCCTGCTCTGACTTCCGTTCAGAAGGGCTGTTTATGTTAATGAGCTCTGTTGGTAACGCCCTCCAAAAATCTGTTGACATTAACTCCGCCCCCTAAAGCCAGCGTTTTCGTTAGCATGGCTAATAAGAGCAGAAGCTCTGTTGTACAACCATATGAGAGCCAGAGGCTGAGTCGTGGTCGCAGCTTCTTTTTTTTTTCTCCCTCCTCTGCTCTGCGCTCACTCTGCATGCTGTTACCAGGACAGGGAGCAGCAGCGGTCAAAATACCTCAGAAACTCGAACAAATAGGCTTTAACAAGGCTTTAACAAGCTAAACAATAGAGGTACATGAGAAAACGTGTTCATAACGAACGAAAATGAATAAATAATTAAATAGTATCCATGCCGGTCTCAAACCCTGGTCTCCCHCTCTCTGGTCCAACACGCTACCCATTGCCCTATTGGAGGCTTGTTGTGAAATGAGCTGCGCATTGCATAACAACAACCGTGACAGCTTTTATACTGAGGAGGTGGAGTCTCACCCGGGGCTTGCTAGGTAAGGGGCTGAACGCAGGTTCCGGTGGGTTGTCGTACGGCTTGTGACATCACAAAATGACAGAAGTATAAAACTTGTCGTTAATATACATTAAAAATACATTTACCTACAGTAAATATGCCCCTGGGTGCATTTTTTTTTGTTCCTAGGACTGTTTTTTTAAGAAGTACATACCCAAAGTTGAGTAAAAAAAAACTTTAAAAAGTGAATTTTGCATAATATCCTGATGCATCTCAGTAATCCAGGTAAAAAAATCAAAAAGAAAAAAAATTGTATAGGTTCTCTGGACGGGTTCTTCTCCAATGAAATGTTTCYTCTCTCCTCCAAGAGACTTCTTCAGTCTGAGAGTTTTAGGCAAAATTCAGGCTTTTAAGCACTGCCTCCATGTGACTGATACTCACATCACATGGAGACCATGTGATGTATCAGTATTAATGTATGTATGTTTTAATTTTGCACAATAGGTCCCCTTTAATCGCCCATCCCTATGAAACAGCTGAAGTCAGTTTGTATTTACAATCAAGTATTTAATAGTCTATAATGTACCCCTACCTGAGCCTCAGAGTTGAGCCATGGTTTAGAAATAGTTCTCAGCTCAGTGTCTGTCGTCCTGTTTTGACCTCAGGGAGTGCAGGCCTTGATGAATAACGCCGTGCAGCCCCTCATCCAGTCTGTTAGTGACTCTATTGAAGCCATCATCATCACACTTCACCAAGAAGACTTCTCAGGGTAAGAGATCGTTTTCTTCCATCCTATCCCAATTTAAGATCCATTATGGATCTATGTTGCTGCAATCTCAGGTGAAAATCCACAAGTGTTTCAGAAAAGGATTCCTTCAGGTGGTTTATTATGAGCAGAAGTAGTCTCCTAAATTGTTAGAAAAGTGCAACAAAATCTTGTTGCCATGTTTGTCTGTGGCTCAAAAAAGTAATAATCCCACCTTGTACCTTGTTACCACAAACTTCAAAGTGTTTTACTGTGTTTGTATGTGAGGGACAAACACAAAGTAGCTCATACAGTAACTGTGAAGCATCACCCTGTGAAATTCATTTGACGGTGCTGTTCTTTACTTTGTGTGTGTGTTACAGGCCTGTGTCCAGCTCTGAGAAGCCAGACACCCCGTGCTCCTTGTACATGAAGGAACTGCAGGGTTTCATCTCCAGAGTCATGACTGACTACTTCAGGCAGTTTCAGTGTGTGGACTTCATCTACAGCAGGACTGAGTCTGTGGCTCAGAGAGCCATCGAGCTGTTCCTTCGCCACGCCACCCTGCTGCGGCCTCTGGGAGAAGGTGGGAAGATGAGGCTGGCTGCAGACTTCGCTCAGGTCAGGAACTCCTCTGTGCTGCTCGGGCCTGAAGCTCCAGGTCTGTTCAGATCTTTCCTTTGTTTTGATGCTTGTGTCTCTGTGCAGATGGAAATGGCAGTGGCTCCTCTGTGCAGGAGAGTGTCCGATTTAGGGAGGCCGTACAGGATGCTGCGTTCCTTGAGGTGTGTGTGCTAATTATCAGTTGAAGTCACAAAATGTTTGACTTGGTTGATTTACTCAGCAAATCAGCCTGTTTTCTGTGTGCCGTGACAAAAATGCATCCTTGGCCAGGCACATTATTTTGTTGCCCCAACTCTGCTCACATCATATCTTGGCTTGAACACAAACTAATCAACGTACAATTAACTGTTGAATGACGCTTTATTAGGTTCACATTTGTCCACACGATTAATTTATGACATCATTTAGACCAGGTGTGGGCAATCCTGGTCCTCGAGGGCCACAGCCCCGCCTGTTGTACTTGTTTCTCTGCTACAACACACCTGATTTGAACGAGTGGGTGATTATCAGMCTTCTGCAGAACCTGGAAGAGGTCATTCACTGACTGAATTAAAAAAGAAAGAAATTAAGAAAGGATATACAGTGGGGAAAATAAGTTTTTAATCAGTCACCAATTGTGCAAGTTCTCCCACTTAAAAAGATGAGAGAGGCCTGTAATTGACATCATAGGTAGACCTCAACTATGAGAGACAAAATGTGAAATACAAATTGAGAAAATCATTTTGTCTGACTTTTAAAGAATTTTTTTGCAAATAATGGTGGAAAATAAGTATTTGGTCACCTACAAAC